AAGAAAATGCCCAACAGACTTGCCTACAGACAATCTGATGGAGGCATTTCCTCAATTGAACTTCCTCTTCCCAGTGCTCCTGAGAACTGTCAGACAACCATAGTTCAAATATATCAAGTGCCTTCCCCCCTAATTCACTCCCCTCCTGGTCCTCTTCCTAACTCCTCCTAGATATAATCCTTCATTTCTCCTTACCCTCCCCTTTTTTTCCTGATAATCCACAGTCATTTTTGTGTTGCTCGGGTACTCACAGGTATGGGGCCATCCCCTGAAATGTGGTAACCTCCCTTAAAGAAAACTCTCAGCAGGCAGAGGCAGGCATCTCTAAGTGTGAGGCCAGGGCAGCCAAGGCTCTGTAGAGAGACCCTATCTCAACAACAACAACAGCAATCCCCACAACCCTGACATCCCTCCCACAGAAGCCATTAACTGTCATAGCTCCCTCCTCCCACATGCTAGAATGTGGACTGGCTTGATGTTTGCAGGTCTTGTACAGCAACCACAGCTGTTGTGAGTTCGTGCGCAGTAGTCCTATCGTGTCCAGAAAGCTCTGCTCTGATCCTCCCCAGCCTTTGGCTCTTAAAATCTTTGCACCTCATTTCTGGATGGTCCCTCCGTCTCAACCAGTGTGTGTGGTATTGGGGATTTTTTTTTTATGTCTGTACTTTGACTAGTTGTGACTCTTCCTTCCTTCCTTCCTTCCTTCCTTCCTTCCTTCCTTCCTTCCTTCCTTCCTTCCTTCCTTCCTTCCTTCCTTCCGTAGCACAAATTCTAATTGTTCTTAATAAAAACCTAGAGTCAGATATTAGGGGATGAAAACTGAGAGAGGAGAGCAGCAGAGTGGCCAACCACTAGAGACCTTTTTACCTCCACCAGTGCTAAGACTGAAGGGCGATCCTGTGCTCTGACTGCATCTCTAGACTGCACTGAGCTCCTCTCTCCTCCCAGCCATTTCACTTCTGTCTCCACCTCCCTAGTTCTGGGATTAAAGGCATGGGATCCCAAGTGCTGGGATCACCTTTGTGTGAACTGTTTCTCTTATAGACTGGATCAATTTCTCATAGCCTAGAGTGGCCTAGAACTAACAGAGATTCTCTGCCATTGTCTCCTGAGTCCTGGGATTAAAGGTGTGCCTGCCACTGCCCAGCCTCTAGTGGCTCTGCACTCTAATCTTCAGGCAAGCTTTATTTGTTAAAACACAAACAAAATATCACTAGTTTTTTGTTGTGTTGTTTTGTTTTGTTTTGTTTTGTTTGAGACAGGATCTCTCTTATGTTGCCCTGGCTGTCCTAGAACTCTCTAGTAGAGCAGATTTGCCTTGAACTCCCAGAGATTCACCTGTCTCTGTCTCCCACTGGGATTAAAGGTGTGCTCACTGCCTGACTAGTTCTGAATTAATCACCATCTATTATAGAAAGAAATGTCTCTTCTGAGGTCTGAGGGTTACTCTTAACCGACCGGTAGAGAGATGAGTTTAGCAGGCGGCATGATGCTCTGCAGTCTGGCGGTACAATAGTAGCAGGTTCTCCATCAAATGCCTCTTCTGTGAGAGGTGTGGTTTAGTGCTGCAGGTGAGGATGGAGCAGTGGCTAAGTGCTTAAGAGTACTGGCTGGGGCTGGAGAGATGGCTCAGAGGTTAAGAGCATTGCCTGCTCTTCCAAAGGTCCTGAGTTCAATTCCCAGCAACCATATGGTGGCTCACAACCATCTGTAATGAGGTCCAGTGCCCTCTTCTGGCCTGCAGGCATACACACAGACAGAATATTGTATACATAATAAATAAATATTTTTTTAAAAAAAGAGTACTGGCTGCTCTTGTAGAGGACTTGGGTCCAGTTCCTAGCACCCACATGGTGGCTCACAGTTGTCGGTAACTTTGGCTTCAGGGATCTGATGCCCTCTTCTGACCTCCTCAGGCACCAGGCATGCATGTTGTACACATATATACATGTATGCAAACACTCATACACATAAAAATAAATTAGCTTTTTTTAAGTGCTTAGGATATATGAATAAGTGATGGGAATCTAAACCCTGTCCTCGAGGGCTCCTGTGTGATGAGGAAGCCCCTAGGCAGAGATGAGGTGATCATCTTACCTGCCTGTGTATACTACAAGGTAAAGTCAAGCTGAGGAAGGCTAGAAATGATGACAGCGAATTCTACAAAGCCCTTTCTGAGGAGAAAACCTTTGAACAAAGGCCTGAGTCACATCACTGTGAGAATAGCTAAGGGAAGAGCTGTTGAGTCCAAGGAATCTGTGGTGGTGCTTGTGGAGACTGAGGTGGCTGGAGTAGAGGGAGCAAAGAGAGAGTATAGGAAATGATCTCGGAGAAATAGCCAGAGGCTGGGTGATTTAGGCCTCTTTTAAGTTTAAACCAAGTGTTTGAATTTGAACTTTAAGGGAGATGGGAGCCATTGGAAGGATTTGAATAATGACATGGTCTCATCTATGTTTAAAAGAATCAGTGTGGCCAGCTGCCTTGAGAAAAGACTGTAGTAGGCAAGGCCCAAAGCTGGGAGAACATTTGGGAGGTACAGACACATTTCAACTGAAAGATGGTAGTCATTGGAACTCATTGGTGCACTAGTTTCTATATTGCAGGATCCCCAAGAATGGGGGAGAATCCTAGACTGATTGCTGGTTGCCATGGTAAAGCACTCCCACCATTGAGAGGCTAAGACTCCCGATGCTGTTACTGGCTGTGGGGAAAGCTGTGCCTGTCAGGGTTGATGCGCACCGCCGCACACAACTGGTGGCGTTCTGGTGCACGAGGCCTTGGTGTCCAGGCTTACCTCCCTTCCGAAGAGCCGGGGAAGCACTACTACCTTTCTGAAGAGAGGAAAGGGGAAACATGTTTCAGTGGGGGAGGGTCATAGCAGAGTGAGCCTAGCTGTTTCAGGCTTCAAAAGAGCTTGGGGACTCCCAGATCCTTTGAGAGAGGAGTTTAGCCCTAAATCTCCCTGCAGACAGGAAGCTGGTTTGAGTTAAGAACATAAAATAAAAACCAGCTGATGCCCCGAATGTTTTCCTGTGCTCCTCCCTTCAGAGCGCCAAAGGAAACTGCTTCCCTCCCTTAGATGACTACTTCAGAGCGCCAGAAAAAAACCAAACCCGGAAACCTTTTGAAAATGAGCCAAGATTTTAGCCCAGGCAAACTCCTGCTTGTGGGATTCCTAGCCAGGAAGTATGCCCCTGTGTGCGGAGCCCTGAGAGGAAAGTGACAAAATATAAAGACTCAGTGGTTAGCCTGTCCCTAGGCCTGGCAGGAACAAGTGTGGCAAGCTTCTCAACCTTAGTCTTCCAGCCCATTTGTAGGTCATGGAGTTGATAAAATGGTCATGATCAGAATTAAAAGGAATATATTTAAGAATATATTAAAGCATATACTGTAATTATTGTTTTATGATAATCGTACCTCAGTTTTGTTTACCTACACACATACATGCATGTGCACACTGGGTCACTATATAAAGCATGTTTCTTACTATTTATGAATCATAGTAAATATGTTTTTTTTACTATGAAAACTGGTCCTTAGGGTATGCATAAACTGAATCTTTCTGCTTTATCTTATTAAAAATTGCCAACCAGTTTCAAGATTCTCTGTAGGACTGGGTTCTCTACCCACAGTCCTATGAGGGAAGGGCAGCTGAGAACCAGCACACTTAGTCTAATTCTTCGGGACCAACACTGATGAACCATAGGGAGTAAGGGATTGTACACATTTGAATCTAAAGGATTGCTTCAGTTCATATGAATTGAAGAGAATTGGAGGTGTATAGCTGTACTTGGTTCGATAACCTCACCTTCCACGTGAGACATGGTGGCTTTAGGCTCCTCCTCTCTTTCCCTTCTCAGGCAGAAAGGACAGTAGGGATGCTGCAGACCACGCCTTCCTCTGGGGGAATAAAGGCACAGTGCCGAGATCCCGTCTGGGATAACTAAAGCAGAGTCTCCCCAGGGTGAATTTGTGCCTGCAGTCAGTACCTGGTGACTGGGAGAAATTCAGACTCTCCAGAATGTCTAGCATAGGCAGACGAACATTAGCTTGTTAGGGTTAGTACCTCAGCTGGGCACAGGGATGAGTGAAAGTGGGGTGATTGGTGATTGGACTGATGGACTCTACTGAGTAAGCATGTTTGGAATTCTTTTTTTGGGGGGGATGGAGTCAGGGAGACAAGGTTTCTGTATAGTCCTGGCTGTTCTGAAACTCACAGAGATCTACCTGCCTCTCCTCATGAGTGCTGGGATTAAAGGTGTGCGTCACCATCACCTGGCTACATGTTGGAATTTTTGACCTATATTCCTAAGAAGCCTAAATGACTCTTAATGAACTCAGAAAATTTTGTTTTTATTTTTTTGTTTCTTTTTTTTTTTTTTTTTTTTTTTTTTTTTTTTTTTTTTTTTTTTTGAGATAGCTCATTAGCCCAGACCAGCTTAGAACTCACTCTATAGTTTGGGTTGTCCCCAAACTCATAGTAATGCTCCTGTCTCAGCTTTCCATGTGTTGAGATTACAGATGTGTAATTAGACCTCTGCATTCTTTCAGTGTTTTTTTCCTGTTTTGTTTTATTTTCAGTTGCTAGGGCTTGAATAGCCTTTTGTACTTGACTGGACTAGACTGGACTGTAGGTTTTAACTGTACTACCTTGGGAGGTTTATTTTAGTTTTTATCAACCACAGGGCATTTCCTTTCTACCTAATGAAAAATAAAATGGCTGCCGGGAGGTGGGAGGGAGGTGGGAGCGTATGCCTTTAATCCCAACACTGGGGAGGCAAAAACAGCTGGATCTCTGTGAGTTCAAGGCCAGCCTGGATGGACTACAAGAGCTAGTTCCAGGACAGGCTCCAAATCTACAGAGAAACCCTGTCTTGAAAAACCAAAATAAATAGATAGGTAGGTAGGTAGGTAGGTAGGTAGGTAGGTAGGTAGGTAGGTAGGTAGATAGATAGATATAGCGAGAGATAGATAGATGAAATGGCCTTTAAGGTAAGAGTTTAGTTTGGTTGTTATGTTTATTGTGTGTATGATGTGCCCACATGTGCCACAGTGAATGTGTGTGGTGAGAGAACCTCTGAGGTAAGAGTCTAAACGGGCCCTCTAAAATCACTCCCAACAGTTCTTCTCTTTAGGCCAATGCAAGCATGTGTATCAAAGACTGTTTCAGTTGACTCTGGGCTTCCCCACTTTAGAAACTGACCTGTCATAGTAGATTCTATCTTGCCCTATATTTCCGGCTTACTCTACTCTTGGCCCTCCAAGACTCTCCAGGGCAGAGTTTTCATAGGAGGGTACACTCTGTTCACGTGGCCACTCAGACACTCTAACCAAGGAAGAACAAGGACATCCCTGAGGGAAGGCTCCTGCAGGAAGTACTGACAGCCCTGGAGGGGACTGGATCTGGAGAAACCAGAAAAACTGTCACAAAAAGCACCATGGAGTGACAATTCTGCGGTTATAGGCCAGTATGGCTCTCACATGACCTCATCCACAGAAAGACGAATGAATTAATCTGAGGTTAATCTTGTGGGGGTTCTGTGGCCTGCAGACAACGTGGAACAGCAGCACTGTTGATGAAGGTGGTGGATGTCTCGTGTGTCATGTCTTCTCAGACTCTCCAGCACTTTACACAGGCTTCCCTTTCATCTCTGTGGGAGTTGTGGCTTAATAACAGTAATCAGAGTACCCTGAGCATCTGTGATTTGCAAAACACAGCATTCAGCCTGCTTTGGCCTCCTAAACTCTTAGACTGTAGAACTGTCAGACATGGGGAGGTGGAGTCCTCTGATGGAGGGCTAGCCCACAATGGAATGCAGATCAGTGATGTCCAAGTTACCCAGTGAATGCCTCACATTCTTCTGGCTGTTGGTAGGTAGAACCCAATGGTCTGTAAATGCTTGAAGATCATTGACCTCATGTGAATCCCACAGACCGAAGATCCCAGTCTCTAGCCAAGACTTAGTGTCTTCTTTCATTGAGAGTGCTTGTTTCTCTTTGGTCATGAAGGGGTACGTTAACCCTTTCATTTTCTTTCTTGTGGCAACCACAGGTGGAGCCTGTTAAATGCCGATGGTACTCACTACTGGACTTTTCTCATGTGATCAAGAGGCTTTTGGTCAGAACAAAGTCTGAAGAAGTCATAGGCTCATTTTCCTGAAGATAAGGTTGTAGGGAAAATTGTGCTGAAGAGATGCTGTAGAAGCCCTTAGTGCCCCATCCCAGCCCTGCTGTGTCTACAATAAATCACTTCTCTGTTTTGCTCTAACAGGTGACCTTGGAGAAGGTGCTGGGAATCACAGTATCTGGAGGCAGAGGACTTGCCTGTGATCCCCGGTCAGGTTTAGTTGCCTACCCCGCTGGGTAAGTGCTTTTCAAGAGGTCTTGTTGCATGAAAGCTTATTTTTTGTTTTTTAGTAACACTTTATTAATTCTCTGAGAATCTCATATCATTATTTGGATCAGATTCACTCCCTTCCCCCTGCTGCTCCAGGCCCACTCCACTTTCCTATCATCCAGCTTTGTGCCCCGCCTTCTCTTATCTCCCCCTCCTTTTCTGGCTCCTTCCCTTCCTCTTTCCCTTTTTAAAGGCCCATGAAGTCAAATTTGTGTTGCCCAGCTACTCTTGGTTGTGGGGCCTGACCTTGGCTGCGGTCAGCCTACCAGGGAGTATACCATGGACTTTCCTCTTCCAGTAGCTGTCCAGCCTGTAGCTCCTCACTCAGGAGTGGGACTTCTATCCCCTCCCTACCCCGTCCATGTCAGCACTTTGTCTGGCTTGAACTTACTCAGAGCGTGTGAATGCAGCCACAGCTGCAGTGAGTTCATATGTGCAATTGCCATGTTGTGTCCAGGAAAGAGTTTCTTTGACGTCATCCACTGCCTCTGGCTCTTACCATCTTTCCTGTGACATCTTTAGCCTTGGGGAGAAGAGTGTCAATTACAATTACACTAAATTAGTTGAGGACAGTAGGTTTCTGGAATCTTCTGAGAGATGCATCGAGATTAATGTTTTGATGCCATTTCTGTGAAGAAAATACGTCTAAGTAAAAACTCGGGTGTTGTCCTTGCTATACTCTATACTGGTTGATATTTGGACATCATACCGCTCCTATATCCACACATGCATATCTGTACTTTTCTTATATAGGATTCCCAACGCCATCTTTAAAAAAAAAAGACGCTAATTTTATGTGTATGACTGACCCGCCTACACTCTGTGAACCATGTGTGTGCCCTGTGCCCATGGAGGCCAGAAGAGGACATCAGGTGCCCTGGGACTGGAATTCACATAGTTATGAGTCACCATGTGGGTGCTAGGGATAAAATCCTGGTCCTCTGAAAGAGTAGCCAGTGCTCCTAATTGCTGAGCCATGTCTCTAGCCCCAGCGCCCTCTTCTGATCCATAGACAGATCCATGCCCACCACACCACTGGCCCACCCCACCCCAGCACCACCTTTAACACTACGGCTAGTGATTTTTAATGGCTTTGTTGTGATACCAAATGTTTAAAGTGTCTGACTCAGGCCTGGGATAGAGCTCACTGGCACAGTGCTTACCTATTTTGAAGACCTTAGTTTTGATTCCTAGCAAAATAAAGCTTCAACTCAATGAATTTTAGTAATTTTCTAGAGTTTTGTAGCCATCACTACGATCAACTTTAGAAACTCTATACACTCAGGTGCTCTGCTGTGTGATACCAGTACTGGAGAGGCTGGGACAGGGGCAGGGGAGCACATGAGCCTGCGGGCTTGAGGTTGGTATGTTCTCAGCTCCATAGATGAGGGGAGGAAACTGAGATTCAAGGTGAAGCAGTTTGTTCAGAATGACATTGCCAGTGTCTGTCCTGACCCTAGCGCTATGACTCTACAGGGGCATGGAGTGGGGAAAGGCCAGGCTTTCCGCTTTTTCTCTACCGTCTACCTGCCATTTGAGTTTATGTGCAGAGTAGTCTACCAGGGAGTCTTCTGCCTCTGGGTTCTGAGTTGGGTGTCTCTCCTAAGGGTCTTAGCGTGTTTAGTGTCCATAATTGGGGCCCTGTGATTGCTACAATGGCTCAGCCTGGCAAAAACTGGACACCCCTCCCCCAAGTGACTTGATGAAAGGTCTGCCCTGCTAAATAACCTAGTACTGCCTGCCTCAGGGGAATTCCACTCATCCCCTGCCTGCCCCAGCCAGGGAAAACCAGGCCCCTTCTTGTTGAAGTGGGGCTGGGGCTAGATAGAGTCTGTACAGGAAAGCTTGGGGTACTATCTCTGGTATGCTGAGCCCTGTGTCAAGGCCTTGGGAAGTTTGGAACTCTGACTCCTATCTCCTACCTTCTACCTCTGGGTGCCAGGCCCGGAGCTGTGGAGTATGTGCTTACCTTTACAGACACTTGCAGCCCAGTGTACTGCCTGGGAGTCCTCCTCCTGAGTTGGGCATGGTGTCTTTCAGGAGATTTTCTGAGTACACTTGGCTTTGGCTAACCCTGGGCAACATTCCCAGGTTGGTCTCTGACCTGTGCGTTTCTTAGAATCTGGGTTTCTCTCTTTGCAAATGGCTGCTTCAGCTTTGGTTCCCGTCTGTGGTAGTGTGTGTGTGGGGGGGGGGGGGCTCACTGTTGTGCCCCTAGGCACATGGGAAGCACTCAGTATGTGTGAGTGTAGGCTCTCTTACCTCCTTTGCCAAGCACCACCCTCTGCCCCCACACTGTTCCTGCTGCTCTTGCTGTAGGAGCCAGCTCAGGTATCCTAGAAACAAGAAGAGAAACAAAACTCAGAATCCTCCCAAAGGCCTAGCAGCAACTATCAAACCAAAACAAAATTTTCTGAGAGGAAATGAAACAGCACAGGGAAGGGGGTGGGCAGCATGTGTCAGGCAGAGGTGGGTGGGATTTGAGTGATTGTGGTGTCTCTGGGCCAAGACCCCTCAGCTTTAGTGCCTCCTGCTTCTCTTGTACAGAGCTTTCTCCTATTTTACTTTACCGGTTGTTCCACAGGAAGCCCGCCCCTCACCTGCCATACTTGAAGCGCCGTGTTAGTACCTTTCTCCTTGCTGTGACAAAATTATGTCACAGAAACAGCTTAGGGGTACCCCCAAACTATGAACTAAAACAAACCTTCCCTTCCTTTTTAAAGCATGGCAGCAAGAGCATGTGGCCACCAGTCAGGGCATCCGTGGCCGGGAAGCAGAGAGAGAGAGAGAGAGAGAGAGAGAGAGAGAGAGAGAGAGAGAGCGCGCGAGAGAGAGCGCATGTGGCCACCAGTCAGGGCACTTCCGTGGCCAGGAAGCAGAGAGAGAGGGGCTGGTGCTCAGCTTGCCATCTCCTATTTATTTGGTCCCCAGCCCACAGAATGGCACTGCCCACAGTTAGGATGGGTCTTACAACATAAGCTAACCCAGTTTAGAAACTCCTGCAAGACAGCCATAGAGTTTTGTCTCCTACATGATTGTAGATCTTGTTGCCTTTAGATTATAGATCGTGTTTATATCCTGTCTGGCTGACAATATTAAATATCATATCACATGCCCCTACTTTAGGATGCTAATGTAGTCCTGATGCAGTCTCTTTGAGGACCCTGGTTCGACCAAACCCTCTTATTTGAGCTGGGCTTTTACCCTAGGTGGCTTCATAGTTCTCTGACTGCTTGGCTGGTTGACCGTGGCCCCACTGCCAGCATAACCTGGTGAGCGCTCTGAGCAGAGCAGCTTTTTGACTCCTGGGGCAGGAACTGCAAAGGGATTAGACCTTTATACCAGTAAGAGGAGGCTTCTTGGAGAATTTTTTAGTGGAGAGAAGAGGATAACTCCTTTCCTGAGTGTACCCGTATTGGAGTTTATGCTGAGAGTCCAGCATTACACAGAATCCCCTCCTAAACTGAGCTATAGAAGTTAGTGAGCAAGGGAGGATCAGAGAATGTTAAGGCCTCTGAATAGTCAGGGTGATGAAAGAGACAGCATATAAATAACTGGGACCTAAAGAGGATGCTGGCATTAGATTGGGTGGCTAAAGAGATGGCTCTGTGGTTAAGAGCACTTGCTGCTCTTGCAAAGGACTTGAGTTTTGTTCCTAACACCCACATAATATCTTACAACTGTCTGTACTTCCAGTTCCATGTGATCCAGTGCCCTCTTCTGGCCCTGCAGGCAAATATTCACCCATGTAAAATACAAAAAAAAAAAAAAAAAAATGTCGTTGAGTGGTCAGGGCTTGGTGGGGAGTACTTGAGCCAGCAGCAGCATGGGAAGAAAGCTGTGTGTGAGCTGTGGTGCTAACGTGTGGTCAGCTGCAAAGATCTAAGTGAGGAACAACTATTTTGTTCTAGGAACCAATTAGCTAGTGGTTAATAGAGAGTGAGTGGGAAGCCAGGACCTTAGGAACCATTGTTATGTCCCGACTTCTAAATCTTGCTGCTCACAAGGATTGCCTCTTGTTGGGGAAAGAACTATCTTTGGAGTCCTCTGGGTAAAGAAAACTGTCCTGATGCCCCCCTTCACTAGCCGCGTAGTCATGGAGTTAGCCCTAGTCTTTTATGTTTTTCTTATCTGTGCAGACACAGCAGCCACTTCATAACTAGGTTTTCATCTTTTTTGAGGAGGGGTGTGTAAAGTGTCCCATAAACCAGGCACTAATGGGTCGCATGGCCTGACCCAAGAGGGTTATTTGGAAGGCATTGAATTCTAGGTATCTCAAGAGGACAGCAGCCAGGGGTGTTCCATGTCACACTGGCCACTTTATCTCTTGGGATAATTAAAGCAAATATGGGGGAATTATCTATAATTCAGCTTCTGGATGACACTAGCTCACTATGTATGGAATGCTATAGCATATGTTTGTATACATGTGAGCTTCCTGTTACAAAAGGTAACCTTGGATAGTCTTTTCCTAGTTAGTTTCAAGAAGACTGCCAAGAGCACTCTTAGTTACTTTTGTTATTGCTAAAATAAAAAACCTGACAAAACAACTTCAGGATTTGTTTGGGTTCATATTTGAGGGTACAGTCCAAGATGGAGGGGATGTCATGGTGACAGGGGCATGAGGTGGCAGGACTCACGCGTCTGCAGTTAGATACAGAGACATGAGTTCTGGCAGTGGCTTGTTTTCTCCCTTTAGTCCAGGGCCCCAGCCCATGAGATGGTGCCATTTACATTCAGAGTAGGCTTCCTTCCCTTAATTAAACCTTTCTGGAAACACCCTATAGACATACTAAGAAGCATTCATTACCTGTAACCATGGTGATTCATGGTGTCAAGTTTACAAGATAAAGCATCACAGCTCCACCTCTGATCATCTTATCACTTAAACACATCAGTTTGAATAATAGCATTTCACCAGGACACCTCAAATCTCATTTTAATCTCATACTCCAAAAATACATTC